GTATTCACTGTGTGGAGATCAGTTACAGCAAAAACAATTCACTAATGATTTACATAGGACGTTTGCATTCTAATTTGCTTCGCACGAGTGATTAATATATCTAATCAAATGATTATATCATGTATTCTGACCGTCAAGCTAAGACACGTATACATCTCTCAAAATGTTTAATTTAAACAGAACTCCATGCTGGAGCAGCCTGTCCTCTCAAATAATGCATTGTATTTATACGGCCAAATCTTAAACGGGCAAAATACTACACACGACTTGAGAATGGTATTGGGGAGCCGGTCGGCCGAGCGGACAGCACGCTGGACTTGTAATCCTGTGGTCCTGGGTTCGATCCCAGGCGCCGGCGAGAAACAATGGGCAGAGTTTCTTTCACCCTATGCCCCTGTTACCTAGCAGTAAAATAGGTACCTGGGTGTTAGTCAGCTGTCACGGGCTGCTTCCTGGGGGTGGAGGCCTGGTCGAGGACCGGGCCGCGGGGACACTAAAACCCCGAAATCATCTCAAGATAACCTCAAGATATCTCAAGATATGGTCCAGGACGGACCGAAACGTCGTCGTCCCTTCACCTTCTAGTGTGTGGTCTGGTCAACATACTTCAGCCACGTTATTGTGACTCATCGCCTGCACGTGGGTAATGAATTTTACGAAAGGATGGGAAATTATCAGGATGAAACACTTAACCGGTATGACGATCCTGTATAGCAATTGGAAAGGATATGAAGACAGGATATCCATAATTCGTTCTCAAACGAGTATATGAATCCAAAGTCGACATGTTAATTGTAAGAGACTCCTTGCCATCCTTGACTACACTTAGGTCACCAGGGCATAATTGTGACATGCTTCTCTCAGAAGCTAGGCACGAGCATTATGAAATTATCATGGATGGGGTCAGAGTTTGTCTCCTGTGGATTTCTTCCCGTATTCATCTCCAAATGCTTGATAGAACTGGTGAGTTGATCAAAATATTTGCTCGAAAAGAGAGAATTGGTTACCATCTTGGATTGCCTTTGAGCAGCCTGAGGGCAGCAATATTCAGGGAACAGCAACAAAATCTAATAAACTTAAGGCAAAGTGAAATTCACACCACTTCTTAATTATTCTATTATGCAGGAAGAACAGCACATCTATGGATAATCAGTTGTAATGTCTAGGAGTCAGCAAACTCCTAGATATTACCACTAGTAGGCTTAGGCTCGTCTACAAGAACCTCTGGGAGTTTGTACCACCTGCTGACGTAGACTTGACTAAATGTATACTCTGCTAGCATAACTATTAGCATACTTTGCGTCACTGTATGATTAAATGCGTAAAATTTTGCTAAATACAATGATAACTTTATCAATGGTATTCAAGAAATGTGTAAGTATTTGACTTAAAATGATGTGCATTGTCATTCAAAATGAATGCACATCTGCTTGATACCTGCTTGATGGGATTTCTGAGAGTTCTTCTACTTCCCAAGCCCGGCCCGAGGCCAGGCATCGGGATCCCATTCGTCATCATTTTATCATTTTATAACTAAACATTCCTCATCACCCATATTAATGTTGCTTCGCACAGTACGACCATTCTTCCATATGAGACAATTATCCCCCACCACCCCCAGAAGCACTGATAAGGTACATCATTCACAGCAAAGTGGGCCAAGAGTCACGTCTTGAGACGTGACTCTTGAGACCCATTATGCAAACAAAAGCCACATGACCAACTGATGTCATTGAAAGCTGGGTTAAAATGGTGGGCTTTGATTTGGGTCTGCTTCGAATGTTGGAGTGTGTTAGTGAGGAGATATGGTGGGTAGATGCTGGGATATGGTGAGTGGTGCGTTGGTGTGGGGATTATTGGGAGTGGGTAGGTGAAATGATCAAGTTAATCCAACTTAATACTGTTGTATTAAGTTAATGCTGTTAATATTAAGTTAATCTAACTTAATACTGTGCCAAAGATAGGGATCTTGCCTCCCTATCTTTGGCACAGCCCAATACATTATACAACACTATTTCTTCTCATTTGGGTTTAACTATCTTAATTCAAGTTAACCTAAAGGTTAAAGAGTACTGCCTAAATGCCTTTTTCTTTTTTATAGAGACTGTATATACTGTACTTTTTTAGGTAAACCTTTGGTAGTACTGTATATTTAATTTTGTATGCCCGAGGTCGCCAGGAAGTGCAAGTTGCCCATGCACAGTACACAGACCAGAAATATTTACGAGTCAACTTATTCATTAGTCTGAACTCACTCCAGCATACTGATTGATTGATTGATGAAGATTAAGCCTCCCAAGAGGTGGCACGGGCATGAGTAGCCCGTAAGTAGTTGATTTTTTAAAGTGAATGTACATACCGAATGAGACAGGAAGAAAACGTGTACCTCCCACTAACGTGTACCTCCCACTACTACACTATAGTATATTCACACATCTATCCATATTTTTCTTACATCTACCCTGGGGAGGGTTCTGTAACTCAAAGCCTACACCTGACACCCGTAATTATTCAACATAAATTAGCATCCAAAACTATAATTAACTCCAGCCCAAGGCAGCATGCAGTACCATTACTATAATTAAATAGTCAAACATGTTACAGTAAATTAACTTCACGTACTGCATTCTCTCATGTGTTGTGTATACAATATCTTTAAAGCTCTAAAACTGTAATATTGTATAGCCATGTAGACTATGTTAGTTTAAAGATTTGTTAAAAATTGTGTTAATAATCAGTGGCCTTGTAAAAAAAAAATATATAATATACATGACAACTTATTCAACAAATCTAATGTATATTTTTTGTATTAGAGTAAGAATTTTGAAATAAGTTGTAGATTAAAATATTTTTTTATGTGCTGAAGTACAAATGCAAAAACACCACTAGTCACATCACTACATAACATTAAGCCAGCTAAATAGGTAAAATAAATCAAGAATAATCTTATTTAAATTGATCTTTTTAACAATATTGTAAGCAGTCGAGTACTACTACTGCATACGTTATAAAAAAAAAGCAAGCTCTCTGCTTGGTTATGCAAGATTAGAGAAAATTGAAGTAGCCTACTTTATTTGCCTCATTATCAAGATAACAGAACAGAAAAATCTCTAGTTTAATACATAATATATTGCTGAAATTTCACATATACAGTATTTGTTGTTTATTGAGTTCCAATTTCCAGTTTTGGAGTTACATTTCCTAAACACAATTTAGTTATAGACCTTACTGAGAATGACCCAGCACAAGTAACAAGCTATATTTTTTTTATTAAAATACTGTAAAGTTGCTGGTTTCAAGAGTCCTTCATCTCCAGATGATGGTATAGTACCAAAAAAAAGTATAATGCCTGCACCAGTGTGTAGATCACAACCAGGATAATAACAGGAACACATTCAATGGTCCAAAAACACACTGTAACATAATAGGAATTACTGAACCCAGCTATAATAAATATTTTAACACTAATATTTTCATGAATCAGTGCATTGTTCTTAAGAAAATCATATGAAACTTAATTTTTTAATTTATTCTCTATTGTTTAGATGTCCTTATACTGCAAGATAGCACTGGGAAAGACACATATCTGCAAGTGGGTTCTGGCAGTCCTACTCCCCAAGGCTGGCCCTTGTGATAACTAAGTCCAACAGATTGTTGCTTGGAGTGGTCCGAAGGTGACGTATCCCCTACAATTCAGTTGCTATGGTACTACTTGCAAGAATGTTCAAACTTTTTCTGGTGATAAGTACACCTTTGTTCCAGCAACATTTATTAGTCTTGCTGGAAGGGGTATTGAATAGCCGTGGACCTATGATGTTCATGCAGTGTTCTCTGATTGTGCCTATGGCATTTCTACTCCTCACTGGTTTTATTCTGCATTTTCTACCATATCATTCACTTCAGTATGTTGTTATTTTGCTGTGTAAATTTGGGAATTGGCCTTCCAGTATCTTCCATGCATATATTATGTGATACATCTCTTGTTTCCTTTATAGAGAGTACATTTTGAGAGCTTTGAGACAGTTCCAATAATTTAGATGCTTCATCATGTCTATGTGTGCCATCTATGTTCTCTGTATTTCCTCTACTATAATTCAGAAATCTATCCTGCTCTGAAAGGGAAAGTGAGTACTGAGCAGCACTCAAAGCCGGGCAACACAAGTGATTTGAATAGCATGAGCATAGTGGTGTAATTTTTTTTTATTAAAAGGTTTTTATAATTAATCCATCCTATAATATTTCTGGCTGATGCTATATTTGCTTGGTTATGCTCACTAAATATCAGGTCATCAGACTTCATTATTTCCAGACTCTTTATATGTTGCTTTCCTTCTGCATGTAGATCTGATTGTGACTTCTACCCTGCATTTCATTTAAGGTCTTAATTTTGACCATACCTAAGTACTCTACCTGAAATTTATCACTGTTACGCATCCCTTGTTATGTTCCTTTTCGCAAATGAAGACTTTAATGATATCGGCTTGTACTTTTAAATTGTTTTCTACAGAAGGAAATTTTCATGCTGATTTTGTATCACCTGCAAAATTTGACTCAAAGCTGTGACTTGTATTTTTCTCTATATCCAATAGGAGAATGAGAAAAAGCAATGGTGCAAGGACTGTGCCCAGAAATACAGAGCTTCTCACTGTACCATAAACCATACCATAAAGTTTGCAATAAACCAGAAAACTATTTTGTAGTTCACCTAAAATATCAGTAACATTCTTAAGTGTCCAGAGACCAGCAACTTTATTCTAAGTTAGAACATTAAATTAGAGCATGGTAGGTTAGGATTGATTGGCTTTGCATGGGTAGGGCTATGTTTGGATTAGCTTAAGTGTTTTTTCTTTAATTTATATGTAATTGGGATTGGTTACCTTGGATTAAATTAGATTATGTAAGTTACACAAAAATGTATTGGTAAACAAACTTATGTTAGAAATGACCTGTAAGCACACTGTGGAATTCAAAATGCCTGAACACATGGTGAAAGCACTTACCCACGAGGAGCAGAACCCTAGCTTTCACTATCACTGCTGCTCTCAACCACTTAACCCAACTTTTTACTTTTTCTAAAACAGAGTACACCACATTTTCACTCAACTCTTAAGTTGTTTTACTATTTTCCTGTGAGTTAATCCTAAAGGATGATTAGATAAAGACTCTCTCTCCTGTATGACGGAAGCGCAACGTGTATACAGGTGTCTGGTTCCTCTAGTACTGCCGGGAGAGCTGTTGTTTACACACACATGGGCCACCAGACGCTCGCTTGTACCTAAACCTGCGCTTCCGTTCTCTATGAATCAAGTTGAAGGGTAGGGACGGGGACTATTACAGACGTGTGCCACGCCATTACGACTATATAAATAAAATAATAAATAAATGTTTATTCAGGTAAAGTACATACATACAAGAGGTTATACAAAAATTGATAGATTTATAGATAGAGCTAGTACATACAATGCCTAAAGCCACTATTACGCAAAGCGTTTCGGGCAGGAAAAACATTAAAGACTAAAATTTAATACTATAGTACTTGGTACTATAGTATTAGGATAGTATTTGGATAGTACATATAGTATTAGGATAGTATTAATATAGTACTTGGAAGGTTATCGACTTGATAAAGGTTATCGACAATCTATCCAGTCTTGAAGGTTATCGACAAGCTTTATCAAGTCTTGAAGGTTATCGACAATTGACTTGAGAATGGTCCAGGACGGACCGAAACGTCGTCGTCCCTTCACTTTCTAGCGTGCGGTTTGGTCAACACTTGACAGGGGTCAGGATAAGGATTTGGGATTGGACGGCGGAAGAAAAGGAATATCGAAATAAGTTTATTGCAATTCGGTCGAGAGAGAAGATCTATAGAGTCCTCTTCGAAGATTGGAAACCAGTGTCTTATCAAAGGTCTCCAAAATTATTGCTGAGGATATTTACAAGAAGTTTTAAACTGGGTAAATATTATCATCAAGACAGCATCATCACGTTTAAAATTGCTTATCCGTCGAAGCCATAAATACCATGATAGTTTTTTTTTAATTTACGGCTAGCAGATAATTACATGATCTTATTGTCCTATAGGTTAAAATTGGCATCTGTTTTCTGTCCTACATTGTGGCCTTTTGAATTTGAAACAATCTGTATTACATATGAGACGCCTCGTATGAGCCAATAAGCTTTTTGCAGGTTCCTTAATTCTTATTTATTATAAAATAAATTCTATAAATCTACCTGAAAAACTATGCGTGCTAGTGGCTTTACAAGAATGCAAAACTTCAAGTCTCTGTACTCTCATAAACCCAGTGTACCTTGTATATAAATAAATAAATAAAATAAATGAAAGGTCTAAATTTGCACAATTTAAGTGTAAGGGAGGGAACTATGAGGAAAAAGTATCAAGCCATTACGACTATATAGTACTTGGAACGGATGAGGATAAGGGTTTGGGATGGGACGGGGGGAAGGAATGGTGCCCAATCACTTGTGGACGGTCGGGGATTGAACGTCGCTAGTAAAAATGCGTTCTTGAAAGTGCTGCTAGTAAATTGTGATGAAGTGATTTACTAGCAACACTTCAAGAGCTGTGTTCAGAGTTCCAGGAACCTTTTCTAGTGTTCTATTCACTAATGATGACAATATTCAACTAAATGTAGTGGAAATAAGTTGAAACAAAAGCAAAGGCAGAATGGTTTACAAAAATAGAAGTTGAAGCCCTACATAAGAAGACATTGAAGACATACGTAAGAAGTTAAAGACATTCATTAGCTGCGCCGCCCTCTCATTAATCTAATCGCTGAAGCTATATTTATATCTGAAATTCTATCCCCCAATACTCTGTAAGTTCAATTCCATCCTCATCTCAATTTTGAATTTCTTGAGCATCCCAAGATTATTCTCATGGCTTCATTTTGTATTTTCTCCAACTTGTTCAGTTTACCAAAACAAGAGATGACAGGTGCGACATAACCAACAGATCTCACAGTATGTCAAGTGATCGCTACTGGAATGTGAAATGTGATTAATATTTGTGTAGTGTGTGGATTGGTGAGTCCTTTGAGGGACATTAAGTAGACGAGGATAGAAATAGCCTAAGAATTTCTATCCCTTTGAGATGCATTTTATTTCAATAAGCTTATTTGAACTTGAAGTTCAAACTGCCCGAAACGCTTTGCGCAATAGTGGCTTTAGGCATTGTATGTACTAGCTCTATCTATAAATCTATAAATTTTTGTAAAATCTCTTGTATGTATGTACCTTACCTGAATAAACATTTATTTATTTATTTATTTATTTGAACTATATCTGCTTTGGAAAAAGTTCAACGCAGATCGACAAAAATCATCACAGAATTAAGTTATAGTGAAAATATTATTGACATAATACGATACGAAGTCATAAGATCAAGATCAAAGTGGATAAAATCAGTAGGGGGCAAATAAGACGAACTTCGATAAGTCACCTACTTTCTGTCCTCGTTGAAACCACTAGAGAGATATGGTTGTCCTCAGGTAAATTCAGGTATCACGTAAGACCAAGCTTGATGACTTCCTCGCTTCGTCAATTAGCCTAAACATTGATCCAGCCAAAAACTGGATGAATTAACGCACTGGCATAGGCTTGTCTATTGCTTGAATAAGCTAAACAATTGGCACCGGGTTCCACGTCACCGACAGAATATATACTAGTTAATAGAAATTAATAGACACCGTTAGAAAAACGTTTTCTTTTAGTAATTATAAAAAATGTACCCTAAATCTAAAGGAGTAACTACACTATTTGTACGAATTTTGTTTTGAGAGCATATAATATTTTTTTATTGAGTTTTTATACAATCTGCTCCTTCTATGAGGTAGTGCAGTTTGTGTGAAACTTATTCTCCTCCCGATACCTGCACAAGCGGTGATGTCGGGAGACGCGATACTTTTTTATATTATAATTTACACTCTTTAAGTACACACTTTAGCTGCTGCTTCGCTATTCTAAATGAAGAATTCCCCCAGTGTAGATCAGAAACTAGCCATGAGTTCATCTCCTATCCCCCGTCTCACAGGATCGTCATACATGGAATCAGGAGAGAGAGCATGAAATGTGAGTTTAATCTACTAGCCTGCACTAGCAAACTGTGAATGAACTAGTTACAGTGCCCAAAGTACCTCAAATACTATGCTTACTGTGAAGGGTCTGAACAAACCCATCAGCCGTGTTCAAAAACTAGCTATAAGTTCATTAAATATTCCCATCTCACAGGATGGTTGGTTATACATGGAATCAGGGGATAAAATACCAGCCTCAATAACAAAAAAATCAACTGTGACTAACAAGAACACCACTTACGGGCTATTCATGCCCGTGCTACCTTTTGGGTGGCTTAATCCTCATCAATCAATCACAAGAAACAAGGGATACATCTCCCGTCACGCAGGGTCCAGTCGCACCTCCACAGATCTCCAGTATCATCTATTGATACTGTTAATGGCTCAAGAGGACTACCACTTACGGGCCTACCTCAAGGTAACAATCAGGTGAGAACATAAAATATAAGGCTGATCTATTAGCCTCCGTTAGCAAAATCCGGGTACAGCATAAGAATATCTTCCAATATTCCTAAGTGTATGAAGTAATTACAGAGTTCAAAGTACCTTATACCATTTGGTCTGAAGTCACTTATAACAGGGCAATCACAGATATAGTGTTGGTGAGTATGTCCCAGCTCTTGTTCACATAGTTTACAATTGGAATATTAACCACTGGGGGCTATTCATTACCTGCAGCCACCTGCGATACATATCGATATCCTAGCCTAATTCTGGCAATTACAATGTCACACTGTCATTGTAACACTAGTGGAAGTTTTATGCTGTCCGTTCATATAATTCTCGATTCTAAACATGTTTACTTAGTTTAGTTCATTAATTATGCACCCCATATATCATCTTGTGGGCGGTAGTGGAAAAGGTTACAGAGGCACATAAACATGTCATAGCTCTTTATACTCTTGCTTTCTGGCTTTTGTGTGTCAGTGACTGCTCTTCTGTCTTCCCTAATTTCCTAAAATATTGCGGCTTTGACAGAAGAGATTGGAATGCCCATATCCCACTCAACTTCAGGCTTATCACATTCAGTTTTAGCTGCCTTGTTTGTGTCATCATGCTGGACAACACCTATATGAGAAGGTATCCATACAAATGAGACTTTGAAACTCCTACTGTTTGCAATAATAATGTTGTTTATAATGGATGTTACAACTACAACCTTTTGAAGATCAATGCTAATTTTATCTAGATAATGTAATAAACGAAAGTTTTCTATGTCAACAGAAAGGCAGAAATATAAGCTACACTTTAAATACTTGTCATAAATATAACTGAAGTGAAAGCGAAGATATATGCATTTGATACTGTACAGTTTCTTGATGGCTTGCTCTAAGAGTGTGAAGCCCTTCACACCAGCCTATAAATTGTGTAATTTATTTCCATATATGCTAATTAACCTTAAAATCTATATGTCAGAAGGAAGGAAGATGTAGACGTTAATGTGACAACATTTCAAGAAATATCTCTCTCTTTAAAGTTAAATAATACAATCCTATCGCCGGTGTCCGGACACATGAAAGCTACTTAGGTATCAGTGGCCAGCCAGGTGGAGATCACAGGCTGTACAATACTGATAAATTATGTAATTCACAGAGATACGTTGATAAATATTAATGTTTTATATTTTATTAAAAATACAGATATATACTTTGTTTCATACGTTAAATGTAACAATATTTCAGTATATATTATATAAGCATAGTATATATAATTCAGTATATACAATATATAATAAGAGTGTCAGACCACGGAGGAAGAATTGAAACAGGAATTTCCTTTAGTACTTTCTTATATTAATACATCTTCAGAGCGAACCATTCCTTCAGAAGATGTATTAATATACGAAAGTACTTAGAGAATTCTATTGTGGTTTTAATATTGAACAATTATACATATACGAAACAGACAAATCTGGTGTCCGAAATAGTAAAAATATTAGTGTGCGATGTGATCAATGTAAGGGGGATATTGGGTGTGCCTCGTATCCCCTACAACAACAAGAAGTTCGAGAGCGATGAGGCCGCCACCTACTAGCTTCTGGATGTCGTCGAATCTAAATCAACAATATACTACCGCCGCTACTTTCTCGGAAACGTAAGTACCTGCCGCTTTACTTCTCTCACCCTGCCTAGCCTGTCC